TATAATTTGTTTGTTTGTTTTCTGGTACCAGGAATTGAACTCAGGACCTTGCGCTTGCCAGGCAGGCACTGTGCTGCTGAGCTAAATCCCCAGCCCCTTGAGTCACAAGTATTGTTCATAATTCCTTCTGAACTTTTATCAAGTCAAAATCACAGCCATATGTATTTCAAGACCTTATATTATTTTTGCAACAACATATACATATGAAAGAACCGATACATGAGGAATGTAAGTAATGTGAAAATGTTACACAGATAATGGGTGTTAGAACCAGTTTTCAGATTCAGAACCACAAACACATTTTTTAACATCAGTTACCCCTTCAAAGCAGTTAGTGTAACGGTAGCCCATAATTCCACACTGTTGTCCTCCTCCTCATCTTCATCATCATCATCAATTGATGCTTCTGTCCTATAGCTTTAGAGATATGTGTCCGGTACAGCAGCAGTGAAAATATTGATTGCTACATATTACAACTGCTTGCTATGATGCAGATTAATTGGCTTGTGCCAGCATAACTATGTAACCTCATTTCCACATGCATTACTTAATATAACACTAATATATGAAGGCAAACGCTTTCTCAAACTTAAAAAATTCAAATATCTTATTATTTTCTGACTCACATAATGGCAAGTGTCATCTATCTGGTCTTTTATGATTATTCATAACCCTATAAAAATGGAACAGTTGATACATTTAATCTTAAACAATCTAAACTCTGAAATACATATAAGACTAAAACGATAATTAGTATTTCAGAAAATATGAAATGGGAAAGTAACATCTAGTGGACAAACTGAGAAAATGCCCTAGATTTTGTATATCAGTGATATACAGTAAAGCGTGAACAGCCAAACAATTTCAAAAGACAGCATTTATCTCACTCGGACAAAATAGGATAAATTCCTTAGTTGACCACTCTGGTTATTATGGTTTCTTTCCACTAGAAGAATTTCTTTTGGCCATTGACATTGCTGATCACCTTTGCAGGAAAATTTGGATAGCATTTTTCATTTCTTATGGTATTCTCTAACCTTGTTATCAACTGCTTATGGAACATAGGCATTGGAATTAGATGGATTCAAGGACTTAAGCAGGGGGAGGGTCCCTCAGGCCTTTCTAAGCTAGAGTAAGAAGTTCACATTCATGTTCAGAGCAATGAAAAGCTATTAGAAGATTGTTGTAGAACATATTTAGAGAAGATCGATCTGGCTGGCAACTTGAAAATGAGCTAGAGGTGGGAAAGGGATTTGCCGAAGAGAGAGATCAATGAGCATGTGTTTCTTAAGTGCAGTAGGAACGATGTTGATCTGCTGAGGTATAGATTTGGAGTGATACTGATGCTATGTTGAAAATCCATCCTTTGGTCCTTTAACAAGGCCACACACACACACACACACACACACACACACACACACATGCATTGTTTTGTATATTTTTGCCTTAATGGACTGCACCTGCAACTATCCCTTGACTACTGAAATCACTTTTCCCGCATGCATGGGGATACTAAAGTGTCTACAAGTTTGCAAACATCTCCCATGGAATTCCTGACCCAGTAGCTAACAGGTGCAGAAGTGTGAAAAGCCTCATGCTGTTTACATTATTTACGTCCCGTAGATCCCTTACAGAATGATGCTAATGCTGGAAATGTTACTTCTCTGTTTGGTCGCTTTTCCTCCTCTGCCCTACTTTCACTATTCCTTTCTTCCCTACTTCTTCCTCTCGAGCTGAGAATATTGATCATGTGCTGGCTCCACCTTTGTATTTTAAAAGCACTTAGCGTTGTGGTTTTTCAGGTTCACCTAAGAAGAAATTTTGTCTCATAATAAATCAGAACCTTTTCTCATCCACATTTGATAGATATGGCTTTAGATGAAATTTTGGACTATAGAGTTGATGCTGTAATGAAGTAAGGTTTTGGACTTTGGGGAAAGAAAAATGCATTTGACATGAGAAAGACATGAATTTGGGGGGAAGGTAGAGCAGAATATTATCCAAGATTTATATGTTAAAATTCTCCCCTGACCCTCCTGCACATACAGGCAACGGCATTAAGAGGTGAAATCCTTAGAAGATGGTTAGGTTTATACCGCAGCATGAAGGTAGAGACTCTGGTGATGAGATTAGCGCCCTTAGATGGACATAGAGGGATTTGAGCACTTTTTCTACTCTCAGCTACTTGACAATGCAATAAGGAACCCACAGCCTGAAAACCAGAAAGAGAGTCCTCATCAAGCGCCAGAACTGCTTGCTGGTGCTTTGATCTTGGGCTTTTCAGAGTCCAGAGATGTTCGAAATGAATGTTTGTGTTTAGGCCACTCTGTCTACTGTACTTTGTTAGCGCCTTGAGAAGTGCCTCAGACAAAGTGCCTTAACTGCATATTCCCCCACGTAAGACTTCCTTTACATACTTTTAAAACTTGTCTACGTTACAATCTTTGCCTTTACTCACACTCTGACGTGGCTCAGCCTTCCTGGGTCATTTGTGGACACTTCCATCTCATTTGATTTAGTTTCTATATCACATTCTGTTTTATTTTTTAAGACC